AGAAGCACCCACAAGAGAGGGAAGGATGAAGGTAGGGTTAGTTGACTTCTTCAATGAAGGTAGCAAGGATGGCGAATTAACAATACATTTGTTTTGCAATTGTAGTTTAGCAAGACGTAACAAAACTATTCTTTCACCTTGTGTGTTTTGTGTGTGGGAGAAACATTACTCCACATATACATGTTAAATTGTGGTTGCAATGCACTAGTTTCATTTAAGATGTTTGCTCTATTATTACCATTTGAACAATGTATGCCTAATCTATGGAGTTAATAACTAATTTTTATGTGATTTAGAGTGTTTTCATTTGGTTAGTTGTATGAGAAAACATTGCATCGAAAATTTATGATTTTAACCCTGAGTTTTCTATTAGGAGCAAAGGAAGGGCTATGTGACTCATTTTCAAAATTCATGATTAGAAATTTTTATTGAAAACAAAATTCATGGATAGTCAATTGATATCAAAATTGAAAGAAATCGAAAATAACTTTAACAATATTAAAAATACGTACTCGATTAGTGCGTGAGGGTTTTGTCTCCTCTCTTGGGTTTTGATAGCGGCTTTCCCCGTTTGATGCCGAGGCTGTCTAGCCGGTCCGGTAATGCGGCTGTCGGAGACGAACGTTCTCTACTCGATTTGATTGAGTTTGGGTTGCGTCCAGTCGTACCGATCCGTTGGTGTTTATTGTCGGGTTTCACCTGGGAGTCCCTGTCGGCGGTGCTGTTTTAAGTCACAGACAGCGACTAAACCCGTTGACCCGATCCTGGTCCGAACGAGCCGGGTCTAAACTTGGGTTGGGTGTTTGGGTCTGAGACATGGCTGGAACTAGCTTGGAACAGGTGCGGACAAATTTGATTTTTTTCTTTTTCTTTTGGTTAAAACCCCATTTTAGTCCCTGAACTATCATACAAACCCCCAATTTGGTCCCTAAACTAAAAAAATCCTTGATTTAATCCCTACTGTTTACCATTTTCACCTCGATTTGGTCCGTCCGTTAAATATCAACCTACGTGTCCCATTACTTGATGGGAAAAGGATGACATGTAAAAGCATTTTGACACCTAGGATGTACAGCGTGGCAAAAAAATGAGATGGCAAAAAAAAAACCTTAAAAAATTTCTTTTTCCTTTTTTTTTTCTTCATTTGTTTTTCCTTTTTCCCTTTCTTCTTCCTCTCCCTTTCCTTTCACCTTTTGCAAACCCTAACTCCTAATATTAAATTTGAGGATAACACAACAAATCAACAGATTAAACTCAATGGATCCTTGACCCAACGATTGCTAGGTTTGAAATAGAACCCAGAACCTCACTCGCAAGAACCCAACGGCTGCTCAAACCTAGCAACCGCTGGGTTCCACCGACCCAGTAGCTGCTGGGTTTGAAATGAAACCCACTGCATGCTGAGTTGGATTTCGATCCCAGCATCTACAAAAACCTAGTGGCTGCTAGGTTCGAAATTGAACCCAGCAGCTACTGGGTTCAAAATCGAACCCAACGTCGAACCCAGCACCTGCAGTAACCCAGTGACTGCCTTGCCTTGCCTTTTTCATCTTTATCAATCAATTTTTCATCACAATCAAATAACAAAATCCAAAAAACAAAAGCAGAAATTTTTTTTTAAAAATTTTTTGCACTTGGGTTCGGTGGAACCCAAGTGCTAGGTTCGTAAGGAACCCAAGCGTGCTAGGTTTGTAGGAACTCAAATGCGAACCCAACACGCTTGGGTTCCTTGCGAACCCAAGCAAGCGTGTTGGGTTCGGTTCCTTGCGAACCTAGCGCCTGCTAGGTTCCAAGGGGAAAGAGAAGGGAAAGGGGAAGGAGAAAGAGAAAGGGAAAGGGAAGGAAAAAGGAAAAAAAGAAAAAAGAAAAAAGAAAAAGATTTTTAAGTTTTATTTTTCATAATATTTTTTATATTATTATTTTTTCCACATCATCACTTTTTTGTCATATTACCTTCCACGTGTGTTAATATTTGACATGTCATCTTTTAACTGTGAAGTAACAGGCTACGTCACAAGATTTTTAACAGAATGACAAAATTGAGGTAAAAATGGTAAACAATAGGGACTAAATCAAGGATTTTTTTAGTTTAAGGACCAAATCAGAGGTTTGTATGATAGTTTAGGGATCAAAATAGGGTTTTAACCTTTTCTTTTTTTAATTTTAAAGTAAGAAATTAAAATAATAGCGCAATGTG